TGCCTTGGATCACATATTAAATCTACAAATACTAGTGAAATGTGGAGCTCAGTTGGGAAAGTCTTAAAATAATTGCGCAGGTTCCAACTATGTGATCGCTGATAAATGAATGTATCTAAGTAGTGGAACTTCATTGGTTAATTTTTTTTAATAATAAATGTAAGAGGCAGGCTGATGAGATGGCTCAACCGTTAGGAGCACTGGCTACTTTTTTAGAGGTCTTGAGTTCAATTCCCAGCAACCACATGGTGGCTCACAACCATCTATAAGGGGCTCTGATGCCCTCTTCTGGCATGCAGGCATACATGCGGAGCAAGCAATCATACTTAAAAAAATAAATACATTTAAAAACAAATATAAACTTAAATAAATGTAAGAAAAGAGGGACACATGAAATTAGTTATATATTTTACATTGTATTTGATAAATCAGCTCATCAATATCTGGTTTGAATGCCAGTGAGATGGTTCAGAAGGTAAGGGTGCTCACTGCCGAGCCTGGTGACCTCATTCAGTGCCCGGGATCCCATGTGGAAAAGAGCGAGCTGACTCCTGAGCCTGGGATTAAAAATGTCCACCACACCCAGTCATCTCATTTTTTGGGGACCCTGTCTTCCATTGGGCTGGAACCGACTAGGTAGGCTGGGCTGGTTGGCATTAAGTATGCCATATCTGCCTTTAAACAATTCCTATGTGGCCGGGCGGTGGTGGCACACGCCTTTAATCCCAGCACTCGGGAGGCAGAGGCAGGAGGATCTCTGTGAGTTCGAGGCCAGCCTGGTCTACAAGAACTAGTTCCAGGACAGGAACCAAAAAGCTACGGAGAAACCCTGTCTCGAAAAATCCAAAAACAAAACAAAAAAACAAACAAACAAACAAAATTCCTATGTGTATGGGTGTATGTGCTCCACAGGTGTACCCGGTGCCCTCGGAGGCCAGAAGAAGGCATTAGATCTGGAGCTGGAATTACAGAAGGTTGTGAGCCACCATTTGGATGCTGGGAACTGAACCCAACTCCTCTGCAAGAACAAGTGCTCTTATTGCTGAGCTGTCTCCAGCCCTGCCCTTTCCCCCGTTGCCACGAGTCTGGGTATCAAACTCTAGACCTCATGCTTGCATAGGAAGTGTTTTTACCAACTGGGCTATCGCTTTTAGCACACTTTAATGCAAAAATATGATAGTCTTACATAAGAAAATGGATATACCAGCAGCACGGTCTCCAAGGATGTTAGGCATCTACAAATAGACAGGCTCAGCGGCTTTCACCTACTGCGATCATATTTGTGCTTTTGCTTTAAATTTTGGCAGCACCTGACAACCATCCTAAGATAGTTGCTTTGAGTGCTGCTCCTTCTCTCCCAATTCCTGTAGCAGGCTTATATTGGTTGTTCTTGACAGTTTCAGGTTTTACTCGTTAGTAGGGCTGTTACCGCTAGGGACCTGTACGCTATTTTCACTGTTACTTGTGAAAAGGTACTCGACAGCTTTTCTGTGACCAGCAGGCACAGGGTGACTGGAAATTTCCACTGTCCTCTCCTGCCAGCATCTCCCACTCGTTCCATCAGTTCCTCATTTGAGAGATCTTCATCGTGATCTGCAGCAACTGGTCCCCATCGGCCCTAGGACCACTCCCAATGCTGCATCCTTAGCAAGGAACGTGTGTTTTATTTATTTTTGTTATTATGCGTTGGTATTTTGCCTGCATGTGTGTCTGTGTGAAGTTGTCATGTAGGTTTGAGCTGGCGTTACAGTTGTGAGTTGCCATGTGGGTACTGGGAATTGAACCCAAGTCCTCTGGAAGAGCAGCCAGTGTCCCTAACTCCAAACTATCATTCCAGCCACAGAACATAAATTTTTGTGGAGGCCGTGTAGTATTATGTCTGGGAAAGACTCTGGGGCTGTACACACCGTTGTCAAGTCTTCCACACACTCTTGGTTCCCACTGGTTTGCGCTTCTCCCAAGCCCCTGCAGTGCTGTTCAGTGGCTGTGATGGTGTGGTTTCTCCCGAACTCCCCCGTCACCTTCACCTGCATCTCAACCATCTGGTGCTTCTATGATATGCTCAGAAGTTCTTCTCAAGCTTTGAGGTCTGAAGCAACACCTTGGCCCGGGGACTGGATCAAGACAGCTGTACTGTCATGAAGATATTCTCTTCTTCTTCTTTTTTAAAAAATGATTTGTGATATATATATATATATATATATATATGTTTTGTCTGCATGTATATCTGCACACCAGAGGAGGGCATTGGATCCCATGGGACCACAGTTATAGGTAGTTGAGAGCCACCATGTAAGTGCTGGGAATTGAACTCTGGACCTCTAGAAGAGCAGACAGTGCTCTTAACTGCTGAACCATCTTTCCAGCCCTGATATTCTGCTCTTTGAAAAAAAAAATTTATGTGTATGACTGCCTGCCGCATGAATGTAAGTGCACTGTGGTCCTGATGCCGCTGGAGGCCAGAAGAGGGGGTCAGATCTGGAGCTGAGTTATAGATGGTTGTGAGCCATCATAGGGGCTCTGGAAACTGGACCAGAGTCCTTTGCAAGAGCGTCAAATGCTCCTAACCACTGAGTCATCTCTCCAGCCCTTATACTCTATTTTTTCTATTATGAGAAAGATCACTCAAGTGTACTGGGTGATAAGTGTTGGGAGCATAGCATGAAGGTCCTTGAGCCCACAGATCTCCAGAGAAATCAGCAATGTTAAGCATATAGGATTGTCTTTCTGACGGGGAAGATGGAAAACCTGTTCTTCCATCCAGGAAGCTGAGAATTAAGTGATTACAGTCTGATCTGTGTTATCCATTGGGCCAGACCATATCAAGCTCTGACAACCAAGTTTGGAGGTGACTAGTAATCTAAATGACCTTATATCCAGAGGCTCCCCATTCTCACAACCAGGATCAGAAGTGGCTCATAGCTCAAATGACCTTTATGCTAAGTGTATGACTGAGACCAGGCCAGACCCTTAGACCCTTAAGCTAGTATAGGTAACCTATCTCTAGAACCCATTTTCTTGAAAAAAAATGACATGCGCCCTGTGAGTAGAGTTTCAATCTAATTATGTTTCCTTGTACAACGGAGATTGTGTTACACCAGGAAGCTTTCAAAATTATGCTGGACTCACATACACTGGAATAAACCACCTGTGATTAGACACCCAGAAGACTGATACAGGTGGATGAAGTCAATATGCATTGGTTTCCATTCTTATCTCTTTGTGGGGTTCAGTTCCCTGTTTGACACCTGCAGTCCCACACATAAGGTACCTTTTAGGATAGCAGTGCTTAGCTGGTGAGCAATGCTAGGATAAGCAATGCTTAGTTGGTGAGATTACTGTGGACATAGTTTTCAGTATCAGGGTGAAAAAAATACATGTGATCCACTCATAAAAGATGCCTCTGTCAACCCAAGCTTTTTTGTTTTAGTGTCAAACCTTAGCAAACTGGACATTGAGTACCCTTCAAAGCCCTGGAGGTTTCCAAGCACTGCACTAATAAGAACTTCAACTTAAAGCCCTGGCTGCATCTCCTTCAAGCGTCAGCATTAAGGGATCTTTGGCTGTGTTTTTTCAGGCATTCTCTCCCAGTTCATCTATACTGAAAACTTGCCTGGCTGGGTGGTGGTGCACACCTTTAATCCCAGGCCTGGGGAGGCAGAGGCAGGCGGATCTCTGTGAGTTTGAGACCAACCTGGTCTACAGAGCTAGTTCCAGGACAGTCAGGGTTACACAGAGTAATCCTGAATAGAAAAACCAAACCCAAATCAAACCAAACAAACAAAAACCAAACCGAACCAACAACAAAACTTGCCTGTGCTGAATCTACCTCCCTCAACGGTACTTTTCAGCACTGTGGGCCACATGTCCCTGTTGTGTGGATTGTGCTTATCAGCTCCTTGAATTCCACAGACCACCATTTGAGAACTTTCTCCTTATTTATGCTGGAAAGTCATCCCATGGTTAGCTTTTGCTTGGATGGTGCCGATAATTTTGTTGGCTTTTGTCTTTGAACTACATGCCCAACAACTGCTCCATGTTGGCCATTGGGCACTTCAAACAGAAAGTCAACAGAGAAGCTCCCAAGGGGTTAGCTATTTGTGAACTTACCTTCAGTTTTTATTATCTTGGGTGATTACTATTGTAGATACACAGAGGCCTAAGGTTTTTGTGATTTGACTAAGTTTTTCACCCACTTTAAATTTTATCACTTGTAATTTGATGTCGAGGATAATTGCTTCCTTTCCTTTTGGCACCACGGGTGACAATGGCATCAGGGGCCTTTCCCCAGGCATTGCTACCTTTGTAGTCATAGCAGCCTCAGTGCTTCCAGAATGTTGTTAACTGTACGCTGGAAAACGCGTGTGCACGCAGATACCCATGAAGGACCATAAAAGGTCTTGTCTAAAGCTACTGTCCAGAAGCTGGTTCATTCTGCACTCCCAGGAAGGCCTGATGTGTCCCTAGTGTCAAGCCCAAATTTCTGGACAGCAGAACTGCAGGCAAATGAAAACTGACGTGGTTGCCTATACCAACCAGCTAACCAATCAAATCTAAAAAAAGGTCTGCGGTGGGGAGATGATGAGGCAAGATGTGTACCAAACAGTTCCTTTGTTCACGAGAGGTCGAAGCACGTCTAGACTGGAGGCGAAATACCGGGGAACACCTCTAAACTGTAACCCCACGGAAGGAGAAGTAGACTCTTATAAGAGTTTTTCAGTTCCATGAGTCGCTTCACGCCGAGGACCCGCCCACACCATTGTTGTCACTGTCAATACCAAATTTAAAATAGGCTTAAATGCTTTTGGTGCCTAGGTCAAGTTGGCTGCGGGTCACCTGTCATCAGCCATCGGGCAGCGTAAAGCGACACTCCTGATCAAGATCTTATAAACTACGGCTGCGAACTGGACACCTAAAAAAGAGGGTCCGAGCCACTACTGTGGCCTGCTGCGCACGCGCGCACAGGGGCGTGGCGCACTATGACCCGCGTGCTGCGCGTGCGCCCGCCTAGGCGGCGCGAGGTCACGGCAGGGGGGATGTTACTCCGGCTGGTGGGGGCGGCCGGCAGTCGGGCCCTGGCCTGGCCTTTCTCCAAGTTGTGGCGCTGTGGTGGCTGCGCAGGAAGCGGCGGGGCGGTCTGGAGCAGCGTGAGGGTCGGTGGCATTGCTCGGCAGGTGAGCAGGGACGCGCCCTCCACAGGTTTCAGGCGGCGTGGTGGGGGCCCCGCTGGACGTCGCAGTGACGTCATCTGCCTGCGGCTGGGTGGGGCGCAGCCGCTTCCGGATTTCCGCTGCAGGCTCCTCCAGTGTCTACCTTCTGCTGATCCTAGCACTTTAGGGTTTACAATATCTTTCAGCTGTGTTTTTTGGAGATGGTCCCCATATAAAAGGTGGACTTTATTCATTAAAGAGGCGTAGTTCTTAATACTAAGCAGAGGAGTATAGCCACATGGGATCCCTGCCGTGGATGCTTCATTCTTTAACCTTGTTACAATATTTCAACACCCATCACAGAGAGTGTGCATCTGCTAGTACAGAAAGGAGGCTCACTATCCCATACCTCATGGAGAAAGCTATATATCTATTCTCCATCTCCAGATAGATCAGTCTGTGTTTTCACTCGCCACAGGGACCATACAGCTGTTCTTCCTTTACTCGTCTTTGCTTCTGTTCCCTCCTTTTTCTTTTTTGGTTTTCCGAGACAGAGTTTCTCTGTAACCACCCTAGCTGTCCAGGACTGTCGTCCCCTCTTAATATGATAGTAGTGTTATGTAACTTTTAAATGTAACTGGCCATTTACCCCAGACAGGGCACTAGTGACAGGTCAAAGAAATGATTCCATTTCTCTAGCTTTGTGAACCAGTTAGTTTATTGGAATTAATTACGGTGGGCCTGGGAAAGGGTTACTGACAGGAGTGAGTCAGTCACACACATAGATGATAACCCAGGGGAAAACTGCCTTCCTGGAGCTCCCTGCAAAACCTACAGGGGGTACCACCGAAGAGGGGCTCATGTCCCCAGGAGCTGTTTACTGCCTGTCTAACTCTGGGGATGGGCCTTGTGAACCTGATCATTTCCTGAGCACAGGAGTTTTAAGGGCTGCCCTCCTTCCTCCAGGATCGACTTTTTGGGTTTGGAGGAAATGGCCGCACAAATGGATTGGCAGAATGCTCCCAGGTTTGTTTCAGTTGCAGAGTTGTTTTGTGTTCCGTGTTGCGGGTCCTGTTCTGGTGATTGGCCTGTTGAAGACCAGTCATTTAGTGAGTGTTGTAGATTGTTACAGTACAGACAGTCGCTGAACGGCTGTGGACCCATGTGTCTTTGTGAGAGCCGTAAGCTGATTGTGTCACTTTTCATGGGTGAATAAATGTCAGTTCACCCTCGATAGATCCCTGGCAACAGACCAAAGTGATGCATGACACTTCTAGGCGGTGTGAACTGACAACAGACCAGGCTATGGGTAGCTCCGAAGTCCAGCTTGGTGAACCAGGAACAGAAATGACTCAGAGACAGACCCATCACCAATGGCCACCCAGGCATGGGAGGCAGCTCACAAGAACTGGAAACCTGTAGCAGATTGCACAAGTTTCAGGTAGTTCAACAGGTTGAAGCATGTCCATTTCTACTGGCTCCATTGGTCTGAGCCGCTTCCAGGCTCTCAGCTGTCTGAGAGTCTTTTAGGCAGCTTGGATGGCCTCTGCTTCATCCAGGTTGCTAGGCTACTCTGCTTCCCAGCAGAAGGTGGCCATATTCTTGGCCAAGGTATCACAAGCCTGCCTCCAGCCCAGGTGCTGTTAAAGGCCTTCCTTCCCTCTGAAGCCTCTTGAGCTCAGCCTCCACTTTCAGTACCTCTGTCTTCCAGATGCCTACTAGGATGGACCTTTAATTCTGCTTAAAACCTTCAACCGCTTTTCTAGTCCAAGGTACCAAAGTCTTCTAAGTCCCTCAAAAACAACAACAAACCAAAACAAGCAAAACAACCACACAGTCAGGTCTGTCATGGCAGTAGCCCACTTTCTGCTGGCGACTTCTGTCTTTGTTAAGTTTCTGTGCTGTGATAAAGCACCATGGCCAAGGCGCCCTAACAGAAGAAAGTGTCTGTTTTCAGAGGGTTAGGGTTCGTGAGGGCAGAGCGAATGATGGTGGCACGAACAGCTGAGAGTTCACATCTTTTTTTTTTAATTTAAAAAATTTATTGTTCGGGCTGGAGAGCTGGCTCAGTGGTTAAGAGCGCCATCTGCTCTTCCAGAGGTCCTGAGTTCAATCCCCAGCAACCACATGGTGGCTCCAAACCATCTGTAATGAGATCTGGCGCCCTCCTCTGGCGTTTGGGTATACATGGAGGCAGAAAGTTGTATACATAATAAATAAATATATCTTTTTTTTAAAAATATTTATTTATTTATTTATACAATGTTCTGTCTGTATGCCTGCAGGCCAGAAGAGGGCGCCAGACCTCATTACAGATGGTTGTGAGCCACCATGTGGTTGCTGGGAATTGAACTCAGGACCTTTGGAAGAGCAGGCAATGCTCTTAACCACTGAGCCATCTCTCCAGCCCCCATAAATAAATATATCTTTAAAAAAAATTTATTCTTCATTTTATGTGCCAAACCCCAGTTCCCCCTCTCTCCCTTTCTCTTGCGCCCCCACCTCCTCCTTTCACACACCCCTCCACTCATGGGGGTAACGCCTTCCTTGGGGAATCAACAAAGTCTGGTATACCTGTTCCCTTTGTATCAAGGCTGAACAAGGTATCCCACCATAGGGAATGGGCTCCAAAAAAGCCAGTTCTTGCCCATGGGATAGGTCCTGGTGCCACTACCAGGGGACCCTCCAACAGATCAAGTCACATAACTCACCCACATTCAAAGGGTCTAGTTTGGTTCCACACAGGTTCCCCAGCTATCAGTTCAGTCCGTGAGCTCCCACTAACTCAGGTCAGCTGTTTCTGTGATTTTTCCCTTCGTGGTCACTCTCTGCCGCCCCGTTCATATGATCCCTCCTCCCTCTCTTCAGCTGAACTCAGGAGCTCAGCTGCATCTGCTTCCATCAGTTACTGGATGCCGTTTCTATGATGTCAATTAGGGTAGTCACTAATCTGATTAAAGGAGGAAGGCCCTTTCCGATACCCTCTCCACTATTGCTAGGCATCTTAGAAATTCCTGAGAATTTCTCTAGCACTAGGTTTTTCTCTAACCCCATAATGGCTCCCTCTCTCAAGATATCTCTTTTATTGTTCTCCCCCTCCATCCCTTTCCCAGCTCAGTCTTCTTGATCCCTCGTGTTTCCATTCCCATCCCCTCTCTTCTACCCCCCACCCCCCACCCCCAGTTTACTATTTTCCCTTCCTGGGGCCCTCCATGTGTGTCTCTCTTAGGGCCCCCCTTTTTACCTAGCCTCTCTAGGGTTGTAGGTTGTAGCCTGATTATCCTTTGCTTTGCATCTGGTATCTGGGTGCCACGTATGAGTGAACACATACTGTGTTTGTCTTTCTGGGTCTGGGTTACCTCACTCAGGATAGTTATTTCTAGTTCCATCCATTTGCCTGCAAATTTCAAGATGTCATTGTTTTTTGCTACTGAGTAATACTCCATAGTGTAAGTGTACCACATTTTCTTTAACCATTCTTTTTTTTTAATATTTATTTGTTTATTTATTATGTATACAATATTCTGTCTGTGTGTATGTCTGCAGGCCAGAAGAGGGCACCAGACCTCATTACAGATGGTTGTGAGCCACCATGTGGTTGCTGGGAATTGAACTCAGGACCTTTGGAAGAGCAGGCAATGCTCTTAACCACTGAGCCATCTCTCCAGCCCTTCTTTAACCATTCTTCAGTTGATGGGCATCTAGGTTGTTTTCAGGTTCTGCTGCTATTAACATAGTCGAGCAGATGTCCCTGTGGTATAATTGTGCATCCTTTGGGTATATGCCCAAGAGTGTTATTGCTGGGTCTTGAGGTCAGTTGATTCCCAGTTTTCTGAGAAACTGCTATACTGATTTCCAGCGTGGCTGTTCAAGTTTGTACTCCCACCAGCAGTGGAGGAGTGTTCTCCTTAGAGAGTTCACATACTAAAGCTGAAAGTTGGAGGCAGAAAGGACACTGGGAATAGCACAAATCTTTTGAAACCTCAAATCTTGCCCCTAGTGACACACCTCTCCTAACAAAGCCACACCTCCTTTTTTTGTTTGTTTTAGGCAGGGTTTCTCTGTGTAGTCCTGGCTGTACCGGAACTCAACTCTGTCGATCAGACTTGCCTCAAACTTCTGCCTGCTTCTGACTCCTGAGTGCTAGGATTAAAGGCGTGTGCCACCACTGCCTGTCTAGATATTATAGCTATAAAACAATTCTTTGTGAGTTTTACAGTGAGTTTAGTTTATATTTATTCTGTTTGAATAGCTAAGTAGGTAAATAAAGTAACAAGCCCATGCCTCAGTCCAAATTCTGTCCCTCACATGCTGTCCTGGCCTCTTTGAGAAGATGCTGTGTTGCATTGCAGAAACAGCCTGATTGTCTCTCCTGTCATTGTCCTCAGGGGATATGCTCGCTGCAGGCTCTGCAGGGAAGACTGACTTGGTTCTCCCCAATGCAGTGTTCAAAACCTCCCAAAGGTACGGTACTTCTTATACCTTCTGCCTTCAGTAGTGGCATAAAGTTTATAACTAGTGTAATTTGCTCGGGGTGTCTCCCAGGTGACTGAGCAACGTGACAGGAGGACATGACAGCTAGCAGGTTCCATATTGAGTCACACAGTAGCACCTCCGAGCCTTTATCACTTTGATGCATTGTTGACACCAGCAGCAGAAACTGTCTCAGAAGGATATTACTAGAATCTTTCGGGAGGCATGGGAATTCAATTTTGTTTCTGCATAGTTGATTCTGGGGATCCAGCTTCAGGTTTGGTAGAGTAGTTACGGGGAACACAGTGGTCTACTTGGAGCCCTCCAGAGCAAGCCGTGGACCTGTGCTTAGTGTTCTGAGCAGAGGGACCGTACGCATAGAAGCATTTGGAGACCTCTGTCTCCAGAGAGCAGAAGAAATATTCCTTATCCCATATGTGGGTTTGGGCCTGGGGCTGCATGTCGCTCTGATCAGGTAAGAAAAAGGCAGGAAGGAGAGCTAGCTTTCTTACTTTTGCAGCCGGATTTGACTGTACTGCTGCTTTTCTGAATGCGTGTGTGTGTGTGTGTGCATGTGTGTGCGCGTGTGAGTTTTCCTTTTAAACATACTGCAACCTCTCCATTTTTCCCCTAAGGGTTTGAGAAATTTTTTAAGAATAAGAAGAATGGAAGAAGTACAGAACCAGGAAACTCAGTAGCTCAAAAGAAAGGTAAGAAGACCAGTTTGATAAGTCAGACTGTCAAGTTTTACATTTGAGTATTTGATTTTACTTTTTATTTTTATTTTATATGCTTGAATGTTTTGCCTACATGTATGTTTGTGTACCACGTGCTTGCCTGGTGCCTAAAGAGGCCAGAAAAGGGCACCATATCACCTGGAACTGGAGCTGCAGACAGTTGGGGGCTGCCATGTGTGTGTTTGGAGTTGAACCTTTGGTTTTGGAAAAGTAGCCAGTTCTTTTTTCTTTTCCTTTTCTAAAGATCTGTCTGTCTGTCTGTCTGTCTGTCTGTCTATCTATCTATCTATCTATGTATGTATCTATTAATTACCTACATGCCAGAAGGGGGCACCAAACCTCATTATAGCTGGTTGTGAGCCACCATGTGGTTGCTGGGAATTGAATCAGTACCTGTGGATGAGCTGTCAGTGCTCTTTTCCTCAGCCATCTCTCCAGCCCTTATCCAGTTCTTTTAAAGCTGAGGGATTTTTGTTTGTTTGCTTGCTTGCTTGCTTGCTTTTTGTTTTTTGAGACAGGCTTTTACTATGTAACGTGGCTGGTTTCGAACTCTATACATAGACCAGGCTCATCTCTAGCTCATAGTGATTTTCCTGCTTCTGCCTCCTAAGTGCTGGAATAAAAGTTGTGTGTTACCATGCCCAACGTGTTTGAGTGTTATTATAAATTACTGACGATGTTGGGGTTTATCTCCTTGAGGAGGGGAAAACAGGAAGAAGATGTGATTGTATGAAGTTGATCTTACCTCCTTGTTCCTAAGTCACTGTGTCTTGTTTCTCACAATTTTCTTAGCTTATTTGGATTGGATGATTAGCTCTAAGCCTTGATGAATTTTTTTTTTCCAAGATGACTTTTCTTTGTGTAGCCCTGGCTGTCCCGGAACTTGCTCTGTAGACCAGACTGGCCTTATACTCATAGATCTCCCTGCCTCTGCCTCCCTAGTGCTGGGATTAAAGGCAAGTACCAGGACTGCCTGGCTTTAAAATTTTTTAAATTTTTTTAATTTTATTTTATTTAATGTGTTTGGGTGGCTCTTGTTCATGTGTAACATGTGTACGTCTGTTGGAAGGGGCAGAGGAAGATGTCAGATACTCTGCAAATGAAGTTACAGATAGTTGTGAGCCACTGTGGAAGAGCTGGGAATCAAACCTGGGTCCAGTGCTCTTAACCACTGAGTTGCTCTCCGACCTCTGTGAGTCATTCTTTTTTTTTTTTTTTTTTTTCGAGACAGGGTTTCTCTGTGGCCTTGGAGCCTGTCCTGGAACTAGCTCTGTAGACCGGGCTGGTCTCGAACTCACAGAGATCCGCCTGCCTCTGCCTCCCGAGTGCTGGGATTAAAGGCGTGCGCCACCACCGCCCGGCTCTGTGAGTCATTCTGAAGTTGCATCTCAGTTTGGTGATTTGGATAGGTTTAACAGGTGTGTTTCACCCGCTTAGGTGCCTGTGAGCGTTAAATAGTAAGAAACATATAAGCTAATTAGGAGGAACAGTGGTACATCTTGCTACCATTTTTCAAAACTCATGTTTTGTCTATAATGGTGTTAATATTTCTCTGTCTCATTAATTCATGTTTCCATTTCTGGTAGCCTTTTTTGGACGTGCATGATATGGTTTTAGGCTTGTTGGAGGCAATATGTAGAGAACTTGTTCTGACCTACAACTTATATTACAACTTGTATGAACATCTCAAAAAGAGGCTCAGGGAACTCCACATCCTGTTATAGTCCGTAGGTCAAAAGTGTACACATGGCTAGGCATAGTGGTGCGCCTTTAATTCCAACACTTGGGAGGTAGAGGCAGGTAGACCTCTGTGAGTTTGAGGCCAGCCTGGTCTATCTCATGAGTTCCAAGACAACCAGAGCCAAAAGAAGGGAAACGATATACACACAGCAGGTTTTTCTGCATGGTGACGTGCTGTTCCTGAGAGCAGGTACCGTGCATCCTGATTCTCTTGAGAAGGGATGTGCCAGTGTCAGCCTGCCTCACTTTTTCCCGTCCAGGTCACTACAGCCATGCTATTCTTACCCTCCCCCTCCAAAAGAAAAACCTGTTAAAATTTAGGCCTGCCTATATGGTGATACATAATCATAGGGAGCTGAGGCAGGAGGATTGCAGGTTCTGAGTTTGCCTGGCCTATGTAATGAAGCTCTGACTCAAAAAAAAAAAAAAAAAAAGCTTATATTTGAAACCCACAAGCTAAAATTTAAGTGATTTTTGTATGTATCTGAGGCTGCTATTCAGCAGTATCTCCCAGCTTCCTCTTTTTTCTGTTATTTATTTATTTATTGGTATGCCAATTTGTATGCATTATGCATATATGTGCATGTGTTTGTAGGCTAGAGGTCAATATTGGATGTCTTCCTTAATCACACCACTTTAGTTTTTAAACTACATTTATTCCACTTTGATTTTCACACACACACACACACACACGCACACACACGCACACACACACACACACCACTGAGCACACACAAACACACACTCACGCACACACCACTGAGCACACACACGCACACACCACTGAGCACACGCACACACACACCACACGCACACGCACACACCACTGAGCACACACACACACACACACACACCACTGAGCACACACACACGCACACACACACACACACGCACACACACCACTGAGCACGTGTGGAGGTGAAAGGACACTTGTAAGCCTTGGTTCTTTCCGTCCATCACTTGTATTTCAGGGATGGAACTCATGTTCTCATGCTTGGTGGCAAATGAACCATCTCACTAGCCCTCCCTCCACCTTAGATTTTGAAGCAGGCTCTCTTCTGAACTGGAACTTGCTAGGCGGACTAGACCGGCTTACCAGACCCTTAGGGATCTTCCTGCCTCTGCTGCTGTAGCACCGAGTCTGCAGGAACGCATGTCACTGTGCCTGTCTTTTAACGTGGATGCCGGAGACTTGAACTCGGACTCTCATGGTTACACAGCCGGCACATAACTGACTGAGCTACCTCCCTAACTCCTTTTCTGTGTTTTGAATTCTTCTCTGGAAAATTATATATACTTCTTTTCTGTTGTAATATAAGACTTTTCTTTCTTTTTCTTTTTCTTTTCTTTCTTTTTTTTTTTTTTAATCTCAGAAACTGTAGAACCAAAGAACACTGGGCCTGGAGGAGATGGAGGCAAGAGAGGAGGGAAGCAAGATGGCTTTGCCTGGTGGAAGCGGATGCAGAAGGTTTGTGTGTCTAAAGACCTGGGCAGACGTGCTGTCACTTGTCGAGGGTGTGGTTGCTACAGAGCTAAGACTTTCTGAGGTCTTTTTCTTATTTTATTCCTGCTCTTGGAAAAAAATCACTGGATAGGTTGATTTATTTATTTTTTTTGTTTTGACTGTTTTGAGACAGGGTCTCCTATGTAACCTTGGCTGGCCTAGAACTCACTGTGTAGCCTAGGCTTGTGGTGAACCTCCTGTCTCTGCCTCTGAGTGTTGGAATTACAGATGTGCACTACTGTGCCCAGCTTCGACTGTGTAATTTGTAACTAGTATGTGTTTATTCGCAGTTGAAGAGGCTGAACAGCGTGTGGTCAGAGTGCTGGTGTGCCCAGTACTTGTAGAGGCTTCGGTCTCTGTCGTCAGGTCTCCACTCATGGTGTCTTGTATGCTGCTCTGTCCGTAGAGGAGCAACACTGTATCCTTATATGACAAGAAGGAACAAAATCCACCCTTTAATTAATTGTGTTAGCACACAAACTCCATACATGGAGACGGGCCCCACATGGCCTCATCATTTCCTGAAGGTCCCACCTCTTTATTGCTTTCACTGTTGGTATTGATTTCCAGGGTGGATTTTTAAGGGACCTAGACAGTTCAAAGAGTTTAAGAAATTTTTAAAAATGTGTGTCAAGACTTAGAATCCAAGGTAAGAGAGACTCTTCTTCCAGGCCTGGTGGCACACGCCTTCAATTCTAATACTCCAGAGGCAGAGGCAGGCAGAGCTCTGGGACACTGAGGCTGGACTGGTCTTTATAGAGAGTCCTAGACCAGTCAGGGCTACATACTGAAAAGAGAAATTTCCATTTTCATAAAGAAATGGTCGTTTTCATGGTGTCAGAGGGTCCCTGTTTGGCTTACAACTGCCTGGAGCTGTAGTTCTGTGCAACCAAACTGGCCATGAGCATCCCTTTTCCTGGGGACACACACATCCATGAGCATCCCTTTTCCCGGGGACACACACATGCCTGTAAAAAAAAGATGAAACAGAAAAATTTTAAGCCAAACATGAAGCCACCTGATTTGTCACCTAACTAGAAAATGTGTTGTCTTTTCTTCCGTAGGGGGAGTTTCCGTGGGATGACAAGGATTTCCGGAGTCTGGCTGTTCTGGGGGCAGGCGTGGCTGTGGGATTTTTATATTTCTATTTTCGAGATCCCGGAAAAGAGATCACCTGGAAGCACTTTGTGCAGTATTACCTCGCCAGAGGTCTGGTAAGGAGATCTCTAGACTGTCTCTGGGGAAAGAGGGTGCTATTCAGGGGGTTCACAGTACCCTGAAGGAGCTGAGAGTCAGGCTACTGTGTGATGCGTGCTGAGCAACCCAGCTGGGCACAGGAACAGCTCCAGCAGAACAGGGTCGGGCCCACTTTCTGGTCAGGTGGAAGCTGCCTTAATACCATGTCCTGGCAATCTCAAAAAGATAAAAAATTAGCTTGTCTTTTGAAATTTGGCTCTATCCATTAGATAATTTCAGTCTCATGTCTGATTCAAAACTCTTTTTTTCTCCTTCACTGTACCCCTGGCCCTTGCTGGTCAGCCCTGAACTTGTGAGACCCTATCTTTTTTTTAAAAAAATATTTATTCATTTATTATCTATATAATATTCTGTGTTCATGTATGCCTGCAGGCCAGACCTCATTACAGATGGTTGTGAGCCACCATGTGGTTGCTGGGAATTGAACTCAGGACCTCTAGAAGAGCAGGCAATGCTCTTAATCGCTGAGCCATCTCTCCAGCCCGTGAGACCCTATCTTGTGAGAGGTTCTTGGTGGCTCTCCTAAGAGTAGTGGGGACAGCTGCTGCAGCTCTCCTCTGCCTTTGGACCTGCCATCTGTGCGTGTGCTGGTGTCTCACTGGGATGTCTGATGGCCTATGTGGGCACCCGTACCCATGTGGCAGACACACAGACGTGTACACATAAATAAAAACAAATTTTACAAACAAATTGACCAAAAAGAACAATACTGTGTCATCATATTTACACAGTGAATTGTATCAAGTTGTGGTTTCCTTTCTGGTTTTTGTTTTTGAGACTAGATTGCCCTCTGCTGCCCAATCTGGCCTTGAATTTGCAGCAATGCTCCTGTTTTTTGAGTACTGGATTATAGGAGTGCCTATTTATTTTCTTTTCCCTTTTACTGTTTCTTAGAGGCATATATCAGTCTATTGTACAGCTGCTGGTAGCGCATGAGCCTCTGGGACTGCTGTTGTTCTTATTGACATTGTTTTTTTTTTTTTTTGTGGTGGACAAATGTTTCTTAATCAGATCTTTACTCAAGACTGTATTGTACCGTGTATGAGAGATGACTTGGTGGGTGCAGACACTCGCTGCACAAGTGAGGATTTCAATTCAAATCCCCAGAACCCACAGAAAAGCTGGATGCATAGCAAGGATGTCTGTGATCTTTGTGCACCTGTGGGGAAATGGGAAGTGGAGAGAACCCCTGGGAGCTTGTGGGTCAGGTAGCCTGGAACATGCATTGGAAAAGCAAGGACACTGTCCAGAACGTGTGGAGGGGGCAGGGGAGCACTGGCCCCCGAAGCCTGGCCCCCAAAGCTGTCTTCATGCCCACACATGGTGGCATGTTCATCCGAATTCATACACATCGTGTTCTAACAGAGATTGTACTCTGTTGTCAGTATAAGGCTGACTTGTATTATATTTAGGTTTTTTTTTTTTAAGATTTATTAATTTATTAGGTATACAGGGTTCTTCCTGCAGGCCAGAAGAGGGCACCAGATCTCATTACAGATGGTTGTGAGCCACCATGTGGTTGCTGGGAATTGAACTCAGAACCTCTGGAAGAACAGTCAGTGCTCTTAACCTCTGATCTGAGCCATCTCTCCAGCCCATATTTAGGGTTTTTTTTTTTTTTTTTTTTGGTTTTTCGAGACAGGGTTTCTCTGTGGCTTTGGAGCCTGTCCTGGAACTAGCTCTGAAGACCAGAAGATAATCTAGTGTGGAGTTCAATTTTGAGAGACTTGTCGAGTTCTTTATTAAAATGAGATAGATTCATGCCCCAAGCTTATAGGATCCAAGAGAGCAAGAAACTAAAGCTTAATTAGCCTGGGCTGCAGCTGGTAGGGGAGGAGGTGTTGTCCTTAGCATGTGGGTGTGCCTGTGACTGCACTGCTCGTGGCTGGCTTAAATGTCCTTACTGCCTCAGCTGTTACGACTGCTTTTCTCTTTTTCCTAGGTGGATCGGCTGGAGGTTGTGAACAAGCAATTTGTGCGTGTTATTCCTGTCCCTGGGACAACGACCGAGGTGAGGGGTCAATTTAAGGTCAAGCGTCCCCATGTCTTTTGTTTGTGTGTTTGTTTTTTGAGACAGTCTCACTGAATATTCTGGAACTCACTCTGTAGACCAGGCTGGCCTAGAACTCGTAGCTCTGCCTGCCTGTTTCCCAAGTGCCGGGATTAAAGGCATGTGTCGCCATACCAGATCACTTTTTTTTTTTATTTTTAAGATTTGATTTTCATCATTTTAGATTGTGTGTATGGGTATGAGCATGTGAATACAGGTATTAGATCCCCTTGGAGTTAGGAACCTCCTGACTTGACAGCTGGGAACCAACTTTGGTCCCCTGCAGGAGCAGTTCATGTTCTTACTTTGAGTCTTCTCCCCAGTCCTTGATTTACCATTTTAAGAATAGTAATCTATAGTTGTCTATTCAGTAAAATACCTTCCCTGTTGTCCAGCAGTCCATGTTACATATAATGGTTTGGACTGGAGAGATGGCTTCTCGAGGATGCGGGTTAATTTCAAACACCCGTGTGGAGGCTCAGAAGCATTCCTAACTCCAGTTCTGAGGAGTCTGTTGCTCTCTTCCCACCTTCCAGCCCCCACTAGGCTTGCATATAGCACACAGACATGCGGGCAAATGCCTATGCACAAAAAATAATTTATTTTTATTTTATTTTAATTCCTTTGGTCTTTTGAGACAGGGTTTCTCTGTGTAACAACTCTGGCTATCCTGGAACTCACTCAGTAGACCTGGCTGGCCTTAAACTCACAGAAATTTGCCTGCTTCTACTTCCCGATTAAAGGCATGCACCACTACTGCCCAGCAACAAAAGATAAAAATAATTTTAAAAATTTTTTTAATAATATGGTTTCTCTCATTGTCTTAAATTGATAATGGCTAATACAGGAAACCTTTAAGAGTACTATAAATAATTTTTGTCAAGTAATATGTAAAAACTACTTGCCAAAATTTTTAAAAAAGAATAAAAAGATGAAGGGAGACTTTGGTTATTGTTGCAACATTTCATACTTTGTCCTGAACTTAAAACCCTGAAGTTTGTGCCGGAACCGAATGAGCTGCTGTTTGCCTCCTTCCCTGCGGAGCCAGCTTCAGGAAGGGATTGTCCATGTCTGTCTGTCAGAGCCAGGGGGAGGGGCTGTCCTGGGGAACACAGATGTGGGTGAGTGTGTCGGCGGTTCTCTGTGGGGCACACGGTAAACCTAAGCTTCCTCTTGGTCTCTGCAGAAGTTCGTGTGGTTTAACATTGGCAGCGTTGACACCTTTGAGAGGAACCTCGAGTCTGCTCAGTGGGAGCTGGGGATTGAGCCCACCAACCAGGCTGCGGTAGTCTATACTACAGAGAGTGATGGGTGAGTCCTAGGGCTGCGGAGGTCCTTGGAGATTAGTGCAGGACGTCTGAGTCGACAGGGTTTCTCTGTATAATAGACCTAGGACATCTGATTATTAAAACAAAACAAAAATTCAGTGCTTAACCTATTGTGGGGTGTGTTTATTTTTTTTAAACATATTATAGGCATCTGCTAATGTTTACACTATCAATACTAAAGGAATATTTTGATATTTTTTTATTTTTTAATTTTTTTTTTTTTTGAGATGGCCTCAATCTTTTAGCCATCCAAGTCTCAACTCCTGTCTCAACCTCCCGAGTATACACCATGGCACTGGCTTGAGTCTGTTTATTGCAGAGAGAATGTCAGGCCTCTAAAAAGTATGTAGGAAAGATAAACACATTGGGTATTGATATCTTTACTGAACCAGAGTCTTCTGAGGAAAGTTATAGCCAAGTTTCTGCCAGACCTATTTGGTCAGAATCCAAGCCCTTTGCTGGGTGGGTCAGGGCAGATTCAGTGTCATTAGGACTTGACTTCGGGACATTCTAGAAACGGCCCCTTTTCATACAGTGAAAGTTTTAGAGCGATTTGCTCTTCTTGGGTGACAGTGGAACTTCTGACCTTTTTCTTTTTCTTTTTTTGGTTTTTCTAGACAGTGTTTCTTTGTGGCTTTGGAGCCTGTCCTGGAACTAGCTCTGTAGACCAGGCTGGTCTCGAACTCGCAGAGATCCGCCTGCCTCTGCCTCCTGGGTGCTGGGATTAAAGCGTGCACCACCATCGCCCGGCTCTGACCTTTTTCTTAAGCGAATGTAACAAATGATTTTCTTGGATTTTTGCAGCTCTCTTCTCCGAAGCCTGGTGCCCACCCTGGTCCTGGTTAGCATCCTCCTGTATGCTATGAGGAGGGGTCCAATGGGGACTGGTCGTGGTGGGCGAGGAGGAGGCCTCTTCAGTGTTGGTGAAACAACAGCCAAGATCTTAAAAAACAACATTGATGTGAAGTTCGCCGATGTGGCTGGCTGTGAAGAAGCCAAGTTGGAAATTATGGAATTTGTGAATTTCCTGAAGAACCCAAAGCAATATCAGGACTTAGGAGCTAAAATCCCAAAGGTACCGGTTTTAGGAAACAGTGATGCACTCTAGGCTGCAAGGTGAAGTACGGATTGCTGTGATGTGTGTTTCTGCCGATCACACAGTGAGGATGGAGACAGCGCCTGTGGTGCAGGGCATTAAAAGGCCTCAGATGGCTCAGCCTGTCTAGCACTTGGTTGGCCGAGGTAGGACGACTCGGGAGGGTTCAAAGCTAGTCTAGGCCACATCGTGAGTTCATGGCCAGCCTGTGCTGTGACTGAGAGACATTGTCTCAAAAACCCCACATCTGTTGTTTGTTTTTAGTGTTATGCTCTCATCTGCAATGACCTGATGGCAGTCCACACTCTGAGCTCTAGATACAAGATTTGTTTTTGGAACAGGGTCTCACTATGTAGCCCTAGCTGGCCTGAGACTCACTTTGTAGAGCAGGCTGAGAGCTGCCTGCCTCTGCCTCCCAAATGCTGGCATTAAAGGCATGTGCCACTGTGCCCAACAGAAACAGGGTATTAGATCTTTTTCAAGGGCCAGTGAGATAGCTCTGCTGGTAAAGGCATGTACCTACCCCCAAGCCTGGGGAGCCAGGTTTGGTCCTGGGATTCATATGTAGGTGAAAAGAGTGAGCCACCTTCTGTGAGTTGTCCTTTGACCTCCACATGTGTGCAGTAAAAAACACATACATTAAACTGGGTGTGGTGGCTCTGTGGTGAAGGAACTGTGCCACCAAACCTGACAGCCTGACCCTTCCCCCCAGGCAGGATTCTTTGTGTAGCCCTGTCTGTCCTGGAACTAGCTCTGTTGTTGACCAGATTGACCTTGAACTCTCAGAGATCAATCCACCTCTGCCTTCCCTTGTGGCTGGAATTGAAAGTGTGACCCACCACCACCCGGAAACAGCCCGAGTTCTATTCCCTGTGCCCACTGCCACTTTTACAGGGTGGAAGGAGAGAACTGACTCTTACAAGTTGTTCTCTGGCGTCCTCATGTCTGCCAACCCCACCTCCTAACATAAATAAATAAATATAATAACTTTTTTGAAAAATCATTTTAATTTTCAGGCATAATAGTTCATAAAATTATAACGAAGGTGTATTATAAAGATGTGAATTGTTAATATTTTTTTTCTCCAAATATCTGCTCGTACGTATGAGTATAGGCATGTACGTGTCTTAGTTTAGATTCTATTGCTGTGATGAACATGCAACCTAAAGCATCCTGGGAAAGGAAAGAGTTTATTTCATCTTGGACTCCAAGTAACAGTTAATGAAGGGTATCAGGGCAGAGCTCAAGCCCGGCAGGTACCTGGAAGCAGAAGCTGTGGAGGAGTGCTGCTTACTGACTTACTCCCCATGCCTTACTCAGCCTGCTTCTTTATATAACCTGGGACTGTTTGCCCAGAGGTAGCACCACCCACAGTGGACTAGGCCCTCCCATACCAATTGTCAATCAAGGACACACTCCACAAACTTGTCTGCAGGCCAGTCTAATGGAAGCATTTTCTCAGCTGAGGTTCCCTCTTCCTGAAGACTCTTCTGGTGACAGAGCACTGAGCAGCAGTGTGCTGCACCACAGCAGGTGTGCAGGTCATAGGACATCTCACGTTCCACCTTGTTTGAGACAGGATGCTTGCTGTTTGCTGCTGTGTATCCCAGCTACGGTTTCTGGGGATTCTCCTGTCTCTGTCTGCTCTCTTATGTAGGAGCACTGCTGTTGTGCCTGACTTTACATGAATTCTGGGGATCACACTCAGGTTCTCAGGTGCCTGGCCTGAACAACTGATGGAGCCCCCCAAAATGAGTTGTGTCCACGCTTCAAACCAGAAAGGCTGTGAAGCTGGACACCTCCTGGGCGGCTATGCAGATTGGTACTGCTGTTTTAGGGAGCACTTTGTCAATAATCATCAAGGAAAGCACTCTGAGTTAGGAGGTGGTGACACACGCCCTTAATTCCAGCACTCAGGAGGCAGAGGCAGGCAGATCTCTCTGAGTTTGAGGCCAGCCTGGTCTACAGAGTGAGTTCCAGGACAGCCAGAGCTACACAGAGAAACCCTGTCTCAAAAAACAAAAACCAGGGGGCTGGAGAGATGGCTCAGTGGTTAAGAGCATTGCCTGCTCTTCCAAAGGTCCTGAGTTCAATTCCCAGCAACCACACGGTGGCTCACAACCATTTGTAATGAGGTCTGGTGCCCTCTTCTGGCCTGCAGACGTACACACGGACAGAATATTGTATACATAATAAATAAATAAATAAATATAAAAAAAATTAAAAAAAAAACCAAAACAAACAAACCCAGAGAAGAAAAGAAAAAAGAAAAGCATTCTGGTCCTTTGAGCCAGTGGAAGACAGCTTCTCCGTGTGAGGATCTGGTTCTGGGAGTTTCCTTCTTAGATGTTGTAGCTGTGTGTAAACTACAGTGAGTGTGTTAATTGTGTGTTATACGTATGTATTCATGTGTGAACATGCAGGTATGTGGGTGGGTGGGGAGGTGGTAGGCGTCATTTCTCAGGAGTCCTCCGCCTTGTGTTTTGAGATATGTTTTCCATTGGTCTGTAGCTTGTGAGTAGGCAAGGCTTATTGGCTAGTGAACTCATGGGAATCAGCCTGTTTCTGCCCTCCTAATACTATGATTAGAAGTGTGGTTTTCTTTGTGCCTGATCTTTTATATTGGCTACAGAAATTGAACTCAGATCTTTGTGCGTTCATGGTACCTCACCTCTTCTGAGCCATTTCTCTAATCATGTGCGTTAATTTTTTTTTTTTAAGGAGAAAAGATTTTCTAGAAATCTTAGGCTCTAAAAGTGGTAGATTTGATGAGACTCTTGTTCTAAAAGTTGCTTTATGTGTTTGTTAGGAAACTTACTTCTTTTTTAGATCTAAGTAGAAACTGGGCTGTTCCCAGTGTGCTGTTTGTCCTTCTGGAGAACTAGGTGTCCCTTTCTCTTGCAGGGAGCAATGCTTACTGGTCCACCTGGTACTGGCAAAACACTTCTTGCAAAAGCAACTGCTGGGGAGGCCAATGTGCCCTTCATCACTGTGAATGGGTCGGAGTTCCTGGAAATGTTCGTTGGTGTTGGGCCAGCACGGGTAGGTGGCTGGATAAACAACTGTAGAAGGTGCCAGCACACTTCTTGTCCAGGATTGGTTATCTTGTGTAGCTATCGGCTCTGTGTGTACCACATCAGGGAGGTACCGATGTCTCAAAGAGGGAGCTAAGAGTGAACCGTTCTTCTGTGTGATAGGAATGTAAGTAACAAAATAGGGTCTGGCTTCTTTTTGCAGGTTCGTGACATGTTTGCAATGGCCCGGAAAAATGCTCCTTGTATTTTATTCATTGATGAGATTGATGCAATTGGCAGGAAGCGAGGTCGTGGTCACCTGGGAGGCCAGAGTGAGCAGGAGAATACTTTAAACCAGATGCTGGTGGAGATGGATGGTGAGCGCACATTGTGGCAAGTCTGCGGGGACTCAGTTTCCACAGGAATATGTATTTTCTTCTCTCTCACTGTGTTTAGCCTGACTTAGAGCCCTGGTTCTTCCCGCCCTCATCTCCTGAGTGCTGGGATTACAGGTATGCACTACTGTGTCTGGCTGATGTGTTCTGATTTTAAAAAAGAATGCTCTCAAGCAAATATGAGAGAGAAATCAGTGTTCTATTCACATAGAGCTCCTCACTGCATGATGGCAGGGACTGACAGGAAAAGAGACATATGCACACCTAACCGTTATCCCATGGGCTCCCTTGGATGAGTGGTCCTTGCTTGCCATCACCTGGCTGTGCTTGATGCATCCCTCAAGCCCACAAGGACTTGGGTAGAAGGAGGCAGTGAGCCCTGGCAAGATGGTGTCAGAGTAGCAGGAGCCAGAAGTGCAGAGACTCCGCATGTTCTGGGCTTATCTCACATCCTTGTCTCAGATTCCAAGGTTCCTTGTGCTGAGAAGAGGTCTGCTTTCCCACCAGTAGAAATGTACCTTATTCAGAGCAGAAGGTAATAGTGAGAGCTTAGAGCAGAGGTCAGTCTTTTGTGTATTGTCTTTCCTAGACTGGGACGAGCCTGGACCCCTAGGCAGCTGAGCAAGGCCTCATGCCTGTTTCTTGGCACTTACAGCAGGATGTGGGACAAGCAGAAGGGAAGTACAGCGAGCATGGGGATTCTGTTGTTGCCTGGGCCTTCCTCAAGTTAACCACCGTATCTTGTGTTTAGGCTTCAACTCTACCACTAATGTGGTAGTGCTAGCTGGCACCAATCGCCCTGATATCCTTGACCCAGCCCTGACGCGGCCTGGCCGGTTTGACCGCCAGATCTACATTGGTGAGTGCCTGTCCTGTAGGTACTTGGGTTTGGATCTCAGCCCCTGAGGTTAAAGGTTTGGATAACTCACTCGCTGTGCTTTTGGAGATGCTGATACTGGGTTCTGTCTGACAGTCCACATTTTGGGAACAATAGATGTAGTTTGGCTGTCCAAATGCCCTTGTAGTGAATACAGGTAAGGCCAGTATAGCCTATTTCTATTCTCCAGATTTTATTTTCATACAACTTTATAAACCATGATGCTTTAGGCCTGTTGGGTTACATGGCCTTGGGGGAATAGACTTAATATTGATTAAGAAGGTAGGTGTGTGCATGTAGGGTGTGTGTGTTTATTTGTTAGTGGTGATTGAACCCAGGGCCTTGTTCATGCTAACTCTACCCAGTGAGCTACATACCTACTCCAAGAAGGTGGGTTTTTTTTGTTGTTGTTGTTGTTGTTGTTGTTTTGTTTGTATTTTCGAGACAGGGTTTCTCTGTGTAGCTTTGCAGTCTGTCTTAGAACTTGGTCTGTAGATCAGGCTGACCTCAAGCTCCCAGAGATTTGCCTGTCTCTGCCTCGCAAGTGCTGGGATTAAAGGTGTGTGCCACCACTGCCCTGCTTAGAAGGTGTTTTGATATATGGCATTGTCCAGTAGAAGTACCCTTTCTTTCTTTCTTTCTTTCTTTCTTTCTTTCTTTCTTTCTTTCCTGTTTCAACCTTGCTGCAGGCAGGGAGTTCTGCTAATTGTCCTGGAAGTTTTGTGAAGTAGATTCAGGGAAACATGTCCCAAAAGCTCTGAGAACGTAATTTTGTTTGTCTCATTTTCTTCATTAGGTCCCCCTGATATCAAAGGCAGGTCCTCTATTTTCAAGGTTCACTTGCGTCCTCTCAAGCTAGATGAACGCCTCACCAAAGATGCTCTTTCGAGGAAACTAGCCGCTCTTACTCCAGGTTTCACTGGTAAGTGTTTGTTTCTGAGCCGCTCATCTTAGCAGGGGCCAAGTGCATCCATTGGTCTGTAGTGACTGGTGATTGTTACACTTGCTCATTTGGTCCTAGTCACCCTGGTGTGTAGAACTTTGACCCTCCTGGAACATTCAAAGGCTTCAGATCTTCTTAACCTAAAACCTACTGGTACCCATTTGAGTTTGTGGGTTTCTGTTTAGACGTAAGTCTTTACTACAGAGGTAAAAGTCATGTCTGAGGGTGATCCCTGAAGAGATGAATCGTACCACACTCGCATCTGGAGTGGATGTGGCGTTTCCTTTTTCAAAACCTTATCTCTGGGCTAGGATTCTTGTTTCCCTGCCAGAGTGGTGTAAACCCCAGCAATGGGTGGGAACCTATGGAATGGGTTTTCTGCCCTGTTTGCCTCTCCTTAGCAACCCTTTGGAAACCTCAGTGGCCTCATGGTTACTGTAGCAAGCTGTTTACTGGTCTTCTATATGGTCTTCGGCCATATAGGTCGTTTGGCAGTGGAGCGTCCTCATTCTGCTTACCTATAGCATCCTGCTCAGCCCTGGGCCAGGCGTGTTTACACACAGTATGCATTTGTCTGTGGTGTAGTGGTGAGAAGTTCTTGCCAGGCTAACATGTGACGGGCCTTCTTGGTATTCTGCCTGGAGTGTCCTTCCTGTTCCATTTTTTTTTTTTACCCCTTGCAGAGTTCAGGTGTTCACTTACTACCCAGACTTTAGATTTCCCTATGAGGATTTTCATTTTGGAGGAGTCAGCAAGAGAATTCAACACTTCTACAGTAGGGTAGACTGGCCACTCCCCAATAACTCTCTGACCCATTCCTACATGAACTCAGTCAAGTTTCCAGCAATGGATGAGTAGATCGGCAGTCTATGGTATATACTATAGAACAATTTTCAGCTGAAAAAGGAATGAGCTCCTAGGGGCTAGGAAGATGGCTCAGATTATAGGAATACTTGCTCTTGCGGAGGACCTGGGTTGCTTGTCCCCAGCACCCACATGGTCACTCACAACCACTACTCCAGTTCCGGTCTCCCTGAGCACCAAGCACACATGTGATGCATATTACATATATTGAGACACATACTTTCGCATTTAAAATAAGTAAAATTTAACGAAAAGGGATGAGGTACTGATACACACTACATCGTAGATAAGTCTAAAAAATAATGCTCCAAGAAAGAAGCCAGTCCTAAAAAGCCACATCTTATATGAATCCTTTTTCCATGAGGGTGTGGAGTTTCAGCAGAGATGCAGAAAATTCAAGTCCACAGAGGTGAAAACAGACTAGTAGTTGATTGGCGTCAGAATAGGAGTTAAGTATAAAGGCACAAGATGTCTCAGATGATGGAAGGTGTGTTAGATCAGGGCCGTAGTTGACAACTCTGGTGTCTTAGTTTCTTTTCCTGTTGCTCTGATACAGAACCTAAGTAACCTAAGGGAGAGTGGGTTTCAAAAGGCTCAGAGTTCCAGGTTCCAGTCCACTGTGATAGGGAGTCACGATGACAGGAGCTTGAGGGAGCTGGTTATACCCCATCTAGGAATGGAGATCAGTGAGCACACACATGTTAGTGCCCAGCTCCTTCCCACAGTTAAGATGACAGCAGTTGGCACAACCATGACAATTCTCACGTGCTGTCTTAGCTGCTTTCTATTGCTGGATAAAGCACCATGACCAGAGCATTTAATTGAGCATATGGTTTTAGAGTGTTAGAGTCCTGATGGTGGAGCGAAGGCACGGCAGCAGGAGAGAGCTGGGAGCTCACATTTTAAACCACAGTTGGAAGCAGAGAGAGCTATTGGGGAATGGTGTGGGCTGTATTGAAACCTCAAATCCCAACTCCCAGTGACACACCTCCTCCAACAAAGCCACACCTCCTAAATCCTTCCCAAATGGTTCTACCCATTGTGGACCAGGTGTTCAAACATACAAGCCTATGGGGGCCCTTCTCATTCAAACCACCACCATGTCCAGAGATCTGTGTTTCAGGCGATTGTAGAGTCTTTCAAGTTACTGTCCAAGTTACTAAAAGCTAATATTGCATATTCCTTTATGACACATGGATTATTTATCAATAAAATTATATAACTAACCAGACACTTTAGCTAAAGTTATAGTGGCTGGTGAAGTAATTTCTACTACATTTTCTGCTGAAGTTTAACCTGGCTGCTGCTTGTGATTTTCATTTAATGAAGTTGATTTTGGTAGGACTCCAGCAGCCAGAAACACTGACTTTACTTCCTTTTCCCGACCCAGGTGCTGATATTTCCAATGTGTGCAACGAAGCAGCACTGATTGCTGCCCGCCATCTTAGCCCTTCTGTCCAGGAGAAGCACTTTGAGCAAGCCATCGAGAGGGTCATTGGAGGTAAGCCCACATTCCCTGGGCAGACATTTTTTGGATAGCCTAGGCTCATTTCATCATGGAGAAAACACAATTGATTTTTTTTTTTTTTGGTTTTTCTAGACAGGGTTTCTCTGTGGTTTTGGAGCCTGTCCTGGAACTAGCTCTTGTAGACCAGGCTGGTCTCGAACTCACAGAGATCCGCCTGCCTCTTCCTCCCAAGTGCTGGGATTAAAGGCGTGCGCCACCACCGCCCGGCCACAATTGATTTTTTTGAACCAAAATTTAGAACAAGGGCTCTCCTAGGAGTTTTTGCTGTCTTCTGAGTCAGGACAGGTTCCTGACGAGGCCTGGGAATGGGGTATGGCAGTCAGTCCAGACTGTCTGGTGACCTTGGGGGTTGCAGGTGGACATTCTTCCCCTGTTTCTCACTCCTTGGATTGTGGTTTGTAGGCCTTGAGAAGAAGACCCAGGTCCTACAACCCAGTGAAAAGACGACTGTCGCCTACCATGAGGCAGGGCATGCAGTGGTGGGCTGGTTCTTGGAACATGCAGACCCTCTGCTGAAGGTCAGTTTCTCAAGCGCCTCTAGGCCCAGGTGCCATCTCTGGCTTCCCAGGTATCAGCACATTTGTAGACATGACCTTTTACTTTCTTTTCTCTGTTTTTAAGAGAGAGAGGGTGTGTGTGTGTGTATGTGAATATGGGTGCATGTGCATGCGTGTGTGCACATGTATGATGGTCAGATGTTGGAACCAGTTTTCTCCCATTATATGGATTCTGGGGATTAAACTCAGGTCATAACCCTTGGTGGTAAGTGCCTTTCCCATTTGAGCCATCTCACCAGCCTCCCTTTTACTTTTCAAGGAGTATGTTGGTCTATAATTTGTCTGGTTCTTTTTGGGGTGGGGAAGCAGAGCAAGCTCTGGGTGGGCCTTGCTGACATCTTAAGCTCCGGGTCTGACTCTTGTTGGAGTGATTGTACGTTCAGTTCCTGCAGAGCCTCTGGGACAGTCAGACACTGAGGCTGTTGATGTGAGTGTGCTCCCCAGGGAGCATTGGTCTTTAGTGGTTCAAGTTCAGGGCCTTTCTCCTGCCTCTCTCAGTCGTAAAGGGACCATGGCCAGTGCAGCACCTGGTGAAACAGTGTTTGAGGCTGACAAAGACAAGACTTTGAATTCTTTTTTAAGATTAATTTTCATTTTTTTAAAGATTTATTTTATGTTTATGAGTGGTTTTTCTGCATGTTTATGTGCACCAGGTGACTTCAGCAGAAGAATGTTAGATGCCTGAATCCAACATACAGAGTTGCAGGTGGTTGTGGGTGCTGGGAACTGAACCTGGGTCTATTTAAGAGAGAGAAAGAGAGAGTTGTGTAGGATTGTATGCAGTACTCACAGGGTCCTGAAGGGGGCTGTGCATCTGATCAGGCCTGGAGTTATAGATGGTTGTGAGCCACTGTATGGGTGGTGGAAACTGAACTTGAGTCCATTTGTTACAAAAGCAACAACTGCTCTTCCCTGTTAGCCATCTCTCCAGCCTGTGTTCCCTGTTAGCCATCTCTCCAGCCTGTGTTCCCTGTTAGCCATCTCTCCAGCCTGTGTTCCCTGTTAGCCATCTCTCCAGCCTGTCTTCCCTGTTAGCCATCTCTCCAGCCTGTGTTCCCTGTTAGCCATCTCTCCAGCCTGTGTTCACTGTTAGCCATCTCTCCAGCCTGTCTTCCCTGTTAGCCATCTCTCCAGCCTGTGTGTCTTCTCTGTTAGCCATCTCTCCAGCCTGTGTTCACTGTTAGCCATCTCTCTAGCCTGTCTTCCCTGTTAGCCATCTCTCTAGCCTGTGATTTTTTTAAGTGTGTGTGTGAGGGGGGTGTTGCACACATGAGTGCAGTCCTTGGAGACCTGAAGGGGGTCTGGAGTTACAAGTTGGTTGTAAGCCCTCCAGTGTGACTGCTGGGAACTGAACTGTGGTTTTCTGCAAGAGCAATCCACGCTCTTGTCCACGGACCCATTTCTCCATCTCCAGGCTCTTATCTTTCAGGTGTCCATCATCCCTCGGGGCAAGGGCCTTGGCTATGCTCAGTACCTTCCCCGCGAGCAGTACCTCTACACACGGGAGCAGCTCTTCGACCGCATGTGTATGATGCTGGGGGGCAGGGTGGCTGAGCAGCTGTTCTTTGGCCAGATCACTACAGGGGCTCAGGATGACCTGAGGAAGGTCACCCACAGTGCCTATGCCCAGGTAAGGCGCTGTCCTAGTGTGTGACCCTGTCAGTTGGAGTGGACCCAGCCAACCCGAGGCCCCTCCTCTACTTCAGATTGTACAGTTTGGAATGAGCGAGAAGCTGGGCCAGGTATCCTTTGACCTCCCCAGACAAGGAGAGACCATGGTGGAGAAACCGTACAGTGAAGCCACTGCCCAGCTCATTGATGAGGAGGTCCGGCACCTTGTCAGGTCTGCCTACGATCGGACCCTGGAACTGCTCACACAGTGCCGGGAGCAGGTCGAGAAGGTGAGTGGGCTTCACTCAGACATAGCCAGGTTGTGGGTTCCAGGTTGGGATATGGTCAGTCCATGCTGACCTTTGTGGGCCTACTTATGTTAGGTTCTGTCCTGAATCAGGACCACTAGTACATTCCCGTCCTGGACACAGCAGCCTGATGGGAGGCTCTCCTTTTCAGGTGAGCAGGCGACTCCTGGAGAAAGAAGTGCTGGAGAAGGCTGACATGGTAGAACTCTTGGGCCCTCGGCCCTTTGCAGAGAAGTCCACCTATGAGGAATTTGTAGAGGGCACCGGCAGCCTAGAGGAGGACACATCCCTTCCTGAGGGGCTGAAAGACTGGAATCAGGGTCGGGAGGAAGGGGGCACCGAGCGGTGCTTACAGGAGAGCCCTGCATAGCAGTGGCCTGTTTGACCACTGTTGGCCAGAACAGCTGTCAGAGGAACTGAAAAACAAATTAAAATAGGTGACAACTGCAAACAAATCTTTTAGAGAAGACCATTTAGACTTCACAGAAGAGAGAGCCAGGACTTGGCAGCCTCCATCCAAGGCAATAGCTAAGGGATCAAAAGCCTGAGGCCACAGGCCCTGGACCTAGAGGTCTGGCAGTTCAGGTAGAAAGGGAGTTGGAAGCTGGCTTCTGTGAAGCCATGAGTGTTGTCTTTGGGGATTCTGTGTATAGGGCATTAGGAGCTACATCAGCTTCCAGTAGACACAGAGCTGATTCAGTTTCCAAGTATGCTGCCTTATAACTTGCCTCTGAGGTAATTAATTGCTCAGAGGCTAAGCCTGATCTAACACAGATAAAGTCTGGTGAAGAATTAATGAAAATGTAAGCCAGTCATCAAGGGAAGGCTGGGTTCTTAAGCTGATCAGTGCTTAGGAAAGAAAGCCAGCTCAGCTGCACATCTCTGGCAGCATCAGAAATGTTGTCAGTCAGACCTGGCATCTAGCCTAGCTCTGGTGCCCGTTTACCAACCATCTTGTGGGACAGCTCTTGAGTAGAGGAAGGGTCTAAAAGAGGTATCTTTTTCTTGTTGATCCTGGGGTGTGGAGGCCTGAACTCGAGCCCTTAAAGCTTGGGTCCTAGGGTTCCATAAGAGTGTGCTTGTGGATTTCCTCCAGGACTCCCTGGGATCACAGATCTCAGGGCTGTACCATCTGCTGCATCAGCCAACTCTTCAAGTCTGCTCATGGCCTGGGGAGGAATCCATTTACTCCCTTGACTTGTTTAAAAATTTTTTTTTTGATTTTCGAGACAGGGTTTCTCTGAAGTTTTTGGTGCCTGTCCTGGAACTAGCTCTTGTAGACCAGGCTGGCCTCGAACTCACAGAGATCCGCCTGCCTCTGCCTCCCGAGTGCTGGGATTAAAGGCGTGCGCCACCACCACCCGGCTTGTTTAAAATTTTTGTATGTATGCCCACTGGTGTTCATGTGTGCATATGATAACATGTGTCCATATGATTATGCGGAGACCAGGGATTGACTTAGTATGTCTTCCTCAATTGCTTTTTTTCTTTTTGGTTTTTGAGACAGGGTTTCTCTGTAGCTTTGGAGCTTGTCCTGGAACTTGCTCCCCAAGTGCTGGGATTAAAGGCGTGTGCCACCACCACCCAGCTCTCAATTGCTTTCTATCTTATTTGATTTTTTTTATTTATTTAGTTGTGATTGTGTCTGCACATGCATATCTACAAACACATATGCTCCATGGTACATGTGTAGGTCAGGAACAACTTGTTAGAGTCAATTCTGTCCTTTTGCCGTGTGGGTTCACCTGCCTTTACCCACTGAGCCATCTTGCCAGCAGTGTACCCTGTTTTTTGAGATGGGGTCTCTTACTGAATCTGGCTAGATTTGCAGGCCAGCAAGCTCGAAGGATCCTCCGGTCTCTGCCTTCCCAGTGCTGGGATTACAGGTGTCCCTTTCTGCCTGGCTTTTATGTGGATGATGTGCAGCAAGCACTTCAGCTGCTCAGCCCCTCTCCAGCTCTGTAACTGATGGTGGTGGGCTTCCTGGATGTCTCGTCAGGAGGGAGGAGACCTGCTCTCTGCCTCTTAAACCGTTACGTCCTTAACTTTTCTTTGGGGCCTGGATAAAGACCAGACACTGAATGTACATAGTATAGTACATTTTCTAAATTGTGTTTGCCTCAGAGCCTCAGAAACAGAAATTTTATCAGGGGACAGATACTTCTCTAACTTTTACTTTTGTAAAATGTACATTACTAAATTTTAAAAATAAAATTTTTTTTCATTTTTAATTTTATGTGTATGGGAGTTTTGGCTGCATGTCTGTATGTGTACCACATGTAAGCAATACCAATTGGATCCTCTGGAGCTGCAGCTTAGGGTTAGCCACCATGTGGGTGCTGGGAATTGAACCCAGGTCCTAAAAGAGCAGCAGCTGATGCTCTTAACTGCTGAGCCATCTCTCCAGCCCCACATGATTAAAATTTTAAAATCTTCAGGGCTCAGCCTGTATCATGGTCTCAGTCACTGAGCTACTTAGGGTCCTGGGGGTCTTGTATTAGCCTCCCTCTGATGAGGTAGGGGTGATTCTTTGGCTGTGACATTGTAGATTCTGACAGAGAGTCTAGAGCCAGCATTGTCGCAGGTTTGTTTGAGGCTGCTACTTCGGCATATTTGTGGGACTCTCCCAGAGTCACTGACCAGCGGAGGGGTGGGTGGCTGGGTTGGCCCTGTCGCTCCTGGACTGCTCCTGTAGATCTACAGTGTCAGAGCCTGCGATAGGCTATGGGGATGGTGGAGCGGGGCTGTGGGGTGTGGAGGACAGGCAGTGTGTGCATCACAGACCCTGAGGTGGTCGCCATACTTCTAAGTGCACTTGGGCTGCACCTCATCCTGTTCGGTCAGTGTCCCCATGGCTTGCCACCCACACCTTCACCTTGTTTGATCCAGTTGCTTTGCTGGTACCTCATCAGAGGAGTCCTTTTTCCTGTCTGTTCTGTGTGACATGGTGTGTGTGTCACCGTGCTCCATTTCCAGACAGCAGAACAAGTAACACCACACTGCTGCTCCACCCATCCCGGACACCTGAGAGCATGCCAGCAAAGGCCAGCAGGGGGTGTGAGCCCAGGGGGTGTGAGCCGGCCTTTCCTCCCAGCTCAGCAAGTGAGGTTGGCAGAGCGTCTCCCTGCCTGCCTCCCCCTGAGGAAAGGGGAAATGTGTCAGAAATCACTCCATTCCCAGAAGGTGCACAGTAGACCTGACTATCGCTGTGGAAAGTCACGGTCACCTGAGCCTACAGAAAGGTCACTCCTGGCTGGCTTCATAATCACCTCATTTCTCTTGTTAATTTAAGCAGCAAGGTTTGGGCTTCCCTGTGAGTTCTGGACAAAGTGCTCCTTCTGCTCAGGACACCTTTGTTGGCTGGAAGAGTTGGCAGGATTTTATTTCTTAGTGGTTCCTTTTTTGTATTACTTGGGGACTAGAAATCCAGGACACTTGCCCCTAAAATGCAGCTCAAATAAGGACAGCCTGGAAGAGCACAGCAGAGCTCCCGGTGGCACTTTGATATCGGCTAGAAGGACCACTGGTCCAGGGACTCTGGAAATGTGCCCCATGGGAGCTGCAGCAGGAAGAGTGGATGGTGGGGGTAAGACCCTGGCAGGCTGGAGTGGAGCCAAGGGTTCACAGATACCTTGAGATGAAAAGGCAGCTGCTGGGTTGTGTCCTTTGGAAACCGGGGTTGGTTTTCATTTCAGGAGACAGGCAGAAATAACCCACATTTATGGGTCAACAGTGCAGAGGCAGAGCGGCTCTGAAATGGGAGCGTCCTTGAGGCTGCTCCCAGCCCCCCAGAAGCAGCCCATGGCATTCCCCCCCACCCCCCGCGCCCCGCCACCAGGAGCATTCACTGCAAATGAAGATCAAAAGCCTTGTCTTTCTCAGAAGACAGTGAGCAGCAGCCAGCAGCGCAGGTTGGCCTAGGGACAGAATGCAAGTAAACCTTTATTTTAAAACCAGTCTTTGATTCGTGGTCACAGCAGTAGTCAGAGTTGTCTTCAAGCACATGAAAGTAGCGTTGAGAGCGTCTGAACTGAGGGTCCAGCGTCGCAGCAGAGTGGGCGGCTGGATTGGCCCTGCCTCCCCTGAACTGCTCCCGAGACGGATCCACAGTGTCAGAGCCTCCCAACTGAGCATTTGACAGGAGATGTGGGTGGATGAGCTAGGCATGGGATGTGGAGGACAGGCAGAGGAGATGCCCTTATGACAGACACAGGAATGGGGAGACGGTACTCTGTCCTTCTGAGCAATCTGGGAGTTGTCACTCAGGTTTGTTGTTCTGAAGGAAGGAAGACACGGGGTGACTCCTCAGCCTTTGAGCCGTCACACCCACAGACACAGAGAAGCAAGCCTGGGGTGAGACTGCAAACAGTGGCACCTGCCCAGGGCAGAGGAAGGGTGCAAGTCTTAGGGAAGTAACCTGTCCCTGCCACTCGGCTGGACAGTAGAGCCAGCCCATGATTGACCACCAAATCTACTTTGGGCTTAAGAGCTCACCGAGGTTGGATATCCATCCCCCTACAGGTTCCTGGGCAGCTCTCATGGGCTTGGATCCCCATACCTTGAACCTACTTGGAATCTCACAAGAAACAAAACGTCTTGTCCTAGAGACAAGTCTTGAGAAGACAGAGGCCACCATTGTCCACTCCATTCCTCCTCTCATCCCAAGGCAGAGATTCCATACAGTGTCATCCCTGATTCGGGGTCCAGGAACCAGCTGGACCTAAGGCCACTGGGCTGTGCTTGTGCTGGGGTGCCCAGAGGCCGGTGCCCGGCACCCAGACTTGGACCTGTTGTCGAGTGATGGCTGGAGTCTTGGAGTTAACAGAAAGTGTCTCTTATGTCGATACTGTCCTGATTTGCCATCATGGTGGTCTGGCCGAGCCCTTCAGCAACTCTGGAAGAGATAGAGTTGTGCTAATCTTCCTTGGGCCCCTCCACAGTGAGGAACGTGTCCACAGCTGTACCTTGTCGTTCTGGGTCACTGGGGGGCTGTTTCTCACGGTTCTGCTCCGCCCTTGTTTTTGTCCAGGAAGGGGAGCGTAGGCAGCCAGCTCTAGATAGTGGGTGCAGACCTGGGAAGAACACAGAAAAAGTCTAGGATTCAGGAAAATGGGGCAGGGGGTGGGCAGGGGCTGAGGCTCCACACTGTGGCTCTGCTGGTCTTGTTGCTACTGCTTCTGGGTATACATAGGCTTTCTTTTTTTTTTTTTTTAAAGATTTATTTATTATGTACACAGTGTTCAGCCTCCATATATGCCTGCAGGCCAGAAGAGGGCGCCAGATCTCAGTACAGATGGTTGTGAACCACCATGTGGGTTGCCGGGAATTGAACTCAGGACCTCCGGAAGAGCAGTCAGTGCTCTTAACCTCTGAGCCATCTCTCCAGCCCCTACATAGGCTTTCTTGGTGTCTGCCACTGTGCTGAAGATTTAGATAATGGGCAAGGGCTTTTCTGATGTCCCTAGGAGTCACTAAAGTCAATGCCAAGTTTTATTTGTTTTGTTTTTTAAATTTTTTTTTTTGGCTCACCATATAGCTTTGGCTGGACTAGTACTTACCACATAGACCAGGCTGGCCTCAAACTCAGAGATCCACTCTTCTCTGCTTCCCCAGTGTTGGGACTGAAGCCATGCACCACTCTCCCTGGCTCAAGTTAAGTCTTGAGATTATCTGCCCTGTCCCCTATGTGAACCTGATAAGACACTGCCCAAGCCTTGACTTCCTAAGTGGCTTAGTACGGCTTGGGGCCCTGCAAACCTGATAGTCTGTGCCCCATCGCGAGACTTCAGCTCCTCTCCAGGGTGCAGGCCACATGGGGCTAGGGGCACAGTTGGGTTGGAGTTGAGCTACCCCCATTCTGCATGTCCAGCCACATGTGTTCCCACCACAGCTGTCATGGGGCATTCCTGGCTCCGCCCACACACACTCGAAAGGAAGGGATGCCACCAGGATCAGGCAGAACTCCATTCTGCAGGAGACATGGGACAAGGACACCCACGAGGTGGAGCCAGGGTCCTCCTTCATGTAGCTGTCCTGTCTCAGAGCCCACAGCTTCTCATGTGTGTGTGTGTCTGTGTATGTGTGTGTCTATGTATGTGTGTGTGTCTATGTATGTGTGTGTGTCTGTGTATGTGTGTGTGTCTGTGTATGTGTGTCTATGTATGTGTGTGTGTGTCTGTGTATGTGTGTGTGTGTCTATGTATGTGTGTGAGTGTATGTGTGTGTGTGTCTGTGTATGTGTGTGTGTCACACCACCAACTACCTCCAGGAAGCATGTGAGCAGCTGATCTGCAGACCCTCGCTGGGGCTGGAGTTCCTTCAATAAGGATGGTGACTTCCCAGCACTTAGTTGGGGGGCAAAAGAAAGTGGATCTCTGAGTTTCAGGGCAACAGACTACATGGCGAGACCTTGTCTCAGAAGAAAGAGGAAAAGGATGGCAAGTGCCTTTCACGAGGCCCTCAGTGTACATATAGGTCTCATCCCGGGTCGTGTATACATGTTTTGACTTGGGGGTGGGAGAAGCTGAAGCTGGTAGTGGGTGGGGCTCAGTTCCTTTGCTTTTCCTACCCCACAGCACAAAGTGGACAGCTGAAGGTCAGTCACATTGATACATTTTTTTTAAGATGTTGAAATGCCAGATGTGGTGGTAACTTTAATTCCAGTACTTGGGAGATAAGAGGCAGTTGGATCTTCAGAGTTTGAGACTACTTTGGTCTACAAAGAGGTCAGCCAGGGGCTACACAGTGAAACCAACTATGTCTTTTGTTTTTCTTTTCTCTTTATCTTTTTATTATTATTATTATTATTAATGGTTTTTCGAGACAGGGTTTCTCTGTAGCTTTGGAGCCTATCCTGGAACTAGCTCTTGTAGATCAGGCCAACCTCAGACTCAGAGATCTGCTTAAGTGCTGGGATTAAAGGCGTGCACCGCCACCACCCGGCTTGTTTTTTTTTGTTTGTTTGTTTTGTTTTGTTTTTCAAGATAGAGTTTCTCTGTGTAATAAAAGCCCTGGCTGTCTTAGTACTCACTTTGCAGACCAGGCTGACCTCAGACTCACAAGAGATCTGTCTCCTTCTGCCTCCCAAATGCTGGGATTAAAGGTGTGCACCACCACCACCACCCAGCTTTGTTTTGTTTTTTCTTTCTTTTTTTTTTAATTTTTTTAAACTTTATTTTATGTGCATTGGTGTGAACGTGTCAGAGCTAAGCCACTAGAGGCCAGGCAGTGG